TTGACCTCTAACAGAGTAAGTCCTACCATTTTATTCTTCTTCAGGATTGTCTTGACTCTTTGCATTTCTACATAAATTTTAGAGTTAGCTTACACAGTTCTATAAAAAAGTAAATAAAACCATGCTAGAATTGTTTGGATGCAAAGATCAATTTGAAGAGAACTGCCATCTTTACAATATGAAATCTTCCAACCCATGTGTTATAGCCCTGTTTATTCTACACTCAATGTTTTATAATTTTTTATGCAGACTCTGCATGTTAGACCTTCCTAAATATTCCACACTTGTTGAAACCAATGTAAATGATATCAGTTTTAAATTTTGATTTTCTAATTTTTTTCTACTGAGATATAGAAAAACACTTGACTTTTGTATAGTGACCTTATATCCAGCAATTTTGTCAAACTCAGTTTATCTGTAGATCTGTTTGGATTTCCTACGTATATAATCATGTCATCTGTAAATATAAAAGTTTTATTTTTTAATACTTATGTTTTTTGCCTTATTACACTTGCTAGGACTTCCAGTGCAATGTTAAATATAAGTGATGAGAATGGACATCTTTGCCTTGTTCCTGATCTAAGAAAAACATTTAGTATTTCATCATTTCGTATATTAGCTATAGCTTTGTTTTGTTGTTTTTTTATAGATGCCATTTTATCTGCTTCAGGAAGTTCCCTTCTACTCCAAGTGTGGGCAGGTTGTATGTTTATACGCTAAATAGGTTTTGAATTTTGCCAAATGTTTTCCCACATTCATTGACCTGATGTTTTCCTTTTTTTTTCTTTCCTGTTAATATGGAGGATAACACTGATTTTCAATGATCAAACCAATGTTGCAGTCCTGTGACAAACTCCACTTACTAATGTGCATTATCCTTTTGAAATACTGATGAATTCAATTAGATAATATTTTGTCAAAATTTTTTTTTGTTCATAGAGATATTCATCAATGATTTTTTTTTAATGTCTTTTTCAAGTTTTGGTACCAGTGTTACACTGGCCTTATGAGAAGTTAGAATGTGTTCCTTCTTCCTCTATTTTCTGTAAGAGTCTGTGTAAAACTGTTACCATTTCTTCCTCAAATGTGTGATAGAACTAATCAGTGAAAACACCTGAACTTGGAGTTTTCTTTGTGGGGACATTTTCTATAAATATGTGATAGACATAGGGCTACTAAGATTTTTTTATTTAATTTTGTGTCAGTTTTGGCATATTTTTCAAGAAATTTGTACATTATATCTAAATTGCCAAATTTATTCGCATATTTCCTTATTTTTTTAATATATGTAGGAGCTATAGTGACTGTCCCTTTTATTACTGATATTACTAATTTGTGCCATCTTCCTTTTTTTCTTTATATATATATATATATATATAAAATGCTATGACCAGTGTGTTTGTGTGTTTGACAGGGATTCTCATATATTCTCTCAAGAGATGGTTGTGTGTGTGTGCATATGTATGTACTGAGAGGGTTGTAAAAATACCCAAACACAGGCACCAAGGAGGCTGGGGAGTAGGAGAAAGGTGAAGCTGGCATCCAAACTTCAGGAAGCACAGGGCCTAGGAAATGATTCTGGATTCAAAGATCTAAGAAACAAGAGTTAAACCATGAGTAGACATAAGTAATATAGTTTTACTACTTTTGAAAGAACTCTCTTCCAGAGTAAAGAAAGTACCTTTTATTCTTTTATTTTTCCACAGTTACCAGCAGGGTTCACTGAATGAGAAAATAGGGAATAAATTAATCACTGTTCTACTAGACAGAACTTTGTTGAATCTATATTCAACTGGAAAAGTCATTACATACCTATGGCTATGTACAAAACATATTTAAATACTATAATCTCCCCACTGTTTTACAATCAGCTTTTTCAAACTTCTTTCCGTTAGTCAATTATAGTTCTGGAGGATCTGCAAAATTATCTTGGCTTTCTTTTCAATTATGTCCTTATGCTCGAATGTATATTTATACACTGTTTTAAAATTTTGATTAGATGTTATACACTTAATCCTGATTAAATCTGTAATAAATGACTGAATTTTTGCAGTATTTACTAAGTCATGTGAACGTCTATCACAGCATGTATACAGTATTTTGCAAGAAGGTGACAAATTTAAAAATTATCAATAACACTGTACTTTATTACAGTAAGAATGTTTTGCTAGATTTTATTCACATTTTTAAAATCATAAACAAAGTCATTAACTATAACTTCAAACAATATAATCAAAATATACTTAAGACATTACATACAAATTTCTTTAAAGCACACATTTTATTTACACACTATTTTAAGAACTGACAATAAATACACACTTTCCATTTTACCTTTGTCCATCATTTATAACTTTATGTGTTAACAATGAAGTAAAACCCTCCAGATAAAAGTAATTAAATGCAATCATCCTTAAAGTTATCAGATATGTGCAAGAAAGAGAAATACCCAAGAATAATGCAAAGGCATTTTAATCCTTTAATGTTCCAAAAATGTATCTGTAATTTCTTATACCAAGCCAATAGAATAATAGTACAAAGCATTCAAATATTTTTTATTCTATTGCTGTTTACCAGAAGAACTTGTACATTAATAACAGCAGAACTGTCCCTATGTTATACGTAAATGTACTTATTTGGAATTTACTCACTGAATTAATAAAAAAACATGTAATTAAAAGTTTTCCTAATACCTTTGTGTTTTGTTGTCATAAACAATTAAATGCTTCCTGGAGCCAAATTCTTTCTACCACACAGAAAACATAGCAGCATATTAATTATTTAACATAATTTACACTAAAACCTTAATGTAAAAGTCTAGTTTTACTAAAAGATCTTCTCAGTGTACTACAGGAGTCATTGGCTTTAACAGTGATATTTTTTTTAAGATACAAATGAATCAACACAAAGTTCAATATAATAATATATAAACTTTCTTTGATTAAACAAATATTATTCTTGTCCCACCCACAGATACTTAAAAAATAACCAGATTTTAAATTAAAGTTAATATTTCAAGAATGGAATGAAGGATAAGAGAAATAGGTAAATGCCCTGTTGAAAGGGGTAAGACACTGACAGGACATCCCTCCCTATTCCATCCTATATAAAAGTCATTTATATGGATTGGATGCCATGTACAGATTTCTGAAACTCATAATCAACATTCAAGCTAATGTAATAACTAAAACTCGCACCACTGCAAGAGCCAAGCTCTACTCAACTAGTATAAAATATCCTGCTACTATTTTAGGCACTTCAAAAATGTCCACTACTTTAAAAAAAAAGGGTTAAATATCAGTTTTAGTCTTTATTTTTTTAATGGAAATTTAAGTAGAAAGGAACTTTTCTATTATTTCGTTCAGATCAACTTATTAACCTTTAGGATAAATGTTTTATGTGAGGAAAAAAATCAGAAAAAAAATCTGTCAAGAAGCAAAATTAGTCCCATTGGTTTTATTTCATTTATTTATTATACTGTTTTTAATACAGTCAACTTATGACCAATAGTATGGATTATTTGTGCACAGTGTGGAAATGCCTCTCAAGAATCCCAAATATAATAGGCACCAAAATCCAGGCTCAAAAAATTATGAGTGACCCAACAGGATGCATCATAATCCTATGTTTAATGATTGGCATTACTGTTGTTCTTTACCATCACAGATAATCAAGAGAGAATCGGGATGTATATTTATTGTAAATTAGTTTTGTATCTGCAAAATAGTTACCAAGTTTATTTCATATTATCAAAAACTTTAAAGACCATGCTATTAATATTAATTGCTTGCCTTAGGTCTTCAGGAATAGTTCTTGAACCCAATTTTTCCCCTAATAGATATAATCTAGTCTGCCACAATTTGGTGTCTCTATATACATTTTGCTTAGCAGAAGGCACCACCTAGCAAATAAATCCTTGGCTCTAAACAAGCACGTTAAATGATATGAGCACAGTGATTATTTCTCTGATCCAAATACTGAATAAAAACAGCAGAGGCAGCACTAAAGCTATTCTGGCACTTAACATATCAATGTATAAGAGATGAGAAGATGATAAATTCCATTTTAAATTTCTTAACTACTCATTTACCTAAAAAGTAATGCATAAAGTCCCAAAGGTAAAAATCTCTCTTCCTCATTCTGACCTAATCAAAATCAGATTTGTATTCAGGTCATAAATTTTTCTACAGCACTTGGATAACTCAGGTTACAATAAACAACTTGAGAAAGTTAAAAATGGTAACAAAAATTAATGAACTTTTTAAAATTATGATTTTAATTTGTGAGTTAGGAGAAAGTAACAAACATGAAGAGCAAAAATAACCTTTCCTGAGAACTATGTTCCACGGGAATGTGGAAGCCTGACTACAGCCCACTTCTCGCATCCTTCTATAAGAGGTCACACAGCATCTGTACTCTCACACATGCAAACACCCTTGTATACGCGACAAACACACAACTAAATAACTTACACAAAGGCATTAAGCAAAAACAGAGAAAAGCTCTTTTCTCTATTTTCTTCTGAATTTCTTATCAGCAATAATCCTCAAAAGAAAGTCTGAGACCAACAGCTTAAGAGTCTTAACAAAGACACATGGTGACAACTCAGGCTTTCTATAACATGATCTTAGTTTGTATTTTTTTTTTTTTTTTTTAAAGATGACCGGTAAGGGGATCTTAACCCTTGACTTGGTGTCGTCAACACCACGCTCACCCAGTGAGCGAACCGGCCATCCCTATGTGGGATCCGAACCCGGGGCCTTGGTGTTATCAGCACCGCACTCTCCCGAGTGAGCCACGGGCCGGCCCTTAGTTTAACAGCTTCTCTTAAAATAATTTCATATGCTAGATCGTTTCTAAGATCTAACCAATTTTATTAACCATCACAGAAAATTTCCAACCTCAAGGAATTAATTAGGATGCAGACTAAAGATAAATATAAAAATATAGGAAACATTTCCTCCCTGATACACAAAATTCATGAATTGCATAAAGATTTCTGTTGTTTCATTTACAAATATATAAATTTATTAGAAAAGCATGCCTACTAAATTTTGGTACATTTTCATTAAAAAACATATCATATCTTCATTGCAAAAAAAAAAAAAAGGCAGAGAGAATATTTTTCTCAAAAGCTATTTCTAGTTAGAGAAATAGATGGTGTTAACAAATGATTTACTAGCAATTTTATTATGGTCAATGTTATTTGTATTAGCTAATGCACTGAAACAAAACACAAGGAAAAATAAAATAATTTTAGCATGCTTGGTCTAAGTTGTCTTTCAATGTGTATTTTTTCATAATTATAACACTATTCTTTGGACGTATCCTTAGTTTTGTGATTAATCAAAGAAATCTTGTACATTACCCAGTACATTACCCAATTAAAGGATCATCATCTTCTTGTAGCTGAAGCCGGGAAAATGGACGGGATACAGATAGTCTATGCTGCATGATTATTATGAGGCATGTTAGGGTGGTTAACACCAAGAGTGCACCGATAACAATTCCGATGGCTTCTGGGAGATTAATGCACCACTGGTCAACTAACAAGCACTTAGTATGACCAAAGGTCCCATTATTGGGGAGTGGTTTTAATCCCAGGATGTGGCACATCATTGGATAAATATCCACGATGTTAATTGTGCTGTGCTTGTAGCCTTTGCGAAATGCAGGACCGTGGGCAGCTAGAAATGGATGCATACTAGGCAAAGAATTATCATAACCATGGTCACCTACTGAAAAAGAACAAAATGATGTTAGTAAGTAAGATCAGCCTTTCAATTACAAAATAACTTGCTTCTAGTTTATGTACACTAGATTCTTGCCAGTCTAACTCCCATCCACTAAGATACTGGTCAGTTAGACCAAACAGGTGCCAGGAATAAAAATTTATAGTTTCTGCAACTCAGCTATGTCCTCTTTTTCATACAAACATACCCCTTTTCCCAATTGGTCATGGCCTCAGACTTTTTTTTTTTTTTTTTTGTCCTTTTTGAGACCGGCGGCACCATGCTCAGCCAGTGAGCGCTGTGAGCACACCGGTCATTCCTATATAGGATCAGAACCCGCGACGGGAGCGCTGCTGTGCTCCCAACGCCACACTCTACCAAGTGCGCCACAGGCTTGGCCCTTTTTGTGTGTGTGTGTGTCTTTTTCGTGACCGGCAAGGGGATTGCAACCCTTGGTGTGGTGTCAGACTTTAATAATACTTCTCAACCTGATGTACTTATCTTTCAGCCCTAGCCCCATTCACATCACCTGTCAACCTCCAGCACATTTTGCAAACACCACCAGTAATAAAAAGACTGGTCAGGCTGAGGGTCCTGTATAACTAACTGGGGACAAAAGTGAGTAAGATCAGTGAAGCAGAAGAACCAAACCTGCAGCCTTACTTATCTCAATTGCTCTTGTGATTTAAAAAAAAAATAAAAAATAGGGTAACATAATGTACTACTGGTTTACTGACAGTTAATAAACACCACAACTTCAGGAGGGCCAGATATTTGAGAATTACAGAAGAGATTCTTGTACTGAATGTGCATTCTAACCAGATGACTCTAACTTCTAACTACAGTAAAAGTCTGACTCAAAGAAAAACATGTGATGGTCCCTGATATAACTCCAACACCACATTCCCAATTTTTAGTTTTATTTTAACAAATATTGCCTTTTAGAGTATCCAGTTGGATTTAATAAGTTCTTACTTTGATATTAAGTGCAGGTGACTAAGTGATGAGTATATTGATGTTTGTCAAATTATTATTCAATTGTATGTTTGAAATATTTTGTAATAAAAATAATGTGACCAATATGACAAAAAGCAAAATATAACACTATATATAGATATTATAATTTCAATACTATTAAAATATGCATGTACATATAATAGAAAAAAACATTAGAAGGGGAAAAACTGCTACAATTAACATTTGTCTGTTTCTCTGAATTGAGGGATTACGGATAGTTGTTGTTGTCATTCTATGCTTTCCGGTATTTTTGAAGTTTTCAATGATGAGTATATAACGTAATATAAATATAATAATACACAAACTCCATTATCCCTGAGTCTGTCTTCTCCTTGCCTGATTCTTGTAAATTGCTATAGATTAGGGATCTGCAAACTACAGTCCATCACCCAAATTCGGCTCTCCAACTATTTTCGTAAACAAAGTTTCACTACAACACACCATTTCAATTTGTTTACATATTGTTTATGGCTGCTTTCACACTATAAGGGCAGAGTTGAGTAGCTCAGACATCAACCAGCTGGCCCACAAAACCTAAAATATTTGCTATGTGGGCCTTTACAGAAAAACTTTGCTGACTCCTGCTAAATACTACAAAATCAGATCTTTTAAAAAAGTATTCAGATTGAATGTAAAATACAGACAAATAAGCTTCAGTTGAGGCAAGACCTGTAACTTTCCCCTGTATATTATCTCAGTTTTAGGACAGATTCTGATATGTTTATTTTTGTTTATTTGGTAGAATTTTTTGTTTACTTCCTGGTTCTCGCCCAGTGTTATGAAAAGCTGTAGCGTTCAGGTAAATGATTTCCTCATTGGGGAAAGACTCAGGATTACTGGGACAAATTTTTTTAACACACACACAAGAAAAAGAAATTTGAACTACTAATCTCTCCCCTTTTAATGTTTCTTTACTTCTTTCTCTTTTATTTTCTACAAATCAAGAGAACCTATCTTGAAAATTACTGACAATAACTGCAGTTTTGGTAAGAAAGTAAAACTATGGGTTCACCCTTAACATTATCCATTCTTCCAATCTAAGGGTGAAACTGTGGTTACTATAAATTGTTATCAAATGAAGACCTGAGAATTATCTAGTTGAAAATTCAATTAGTTATTCTGTGTGAATATCTCTAAATCAAAGTACTCCCTTAATAGAACAGTGTCTCAATGTGTAATTTGTCCCTAGGATATAAAAGAAATATCCTAAATAAATACTTACATTTTGGTGATGATGTATTTAGCACAATTGCCCAGCCTTCATCAGCAACCAAAATAATAGGCTGAATTCGATCATTATGTTGGTAATAAAATCTATTAGGAATGTCCTCTTTGAGATAAACATTCATGTGAGAGCTACAGTTTTTCAGCTTGTTATAAACCTCTGTTTTATCTGGAAAGAAAAGAAAATAGCAAATGGAAAAAGTCATGGTTTACTGATAAGGAAAAAAATATGACTCACTAAAATAAGTGGAAATAAATTCTGGACAATGTCATCTATTAAATCACTTAATTCTTAAAAAAGCAGAGAAATAATAATTGTGTGACAGTCTTGGGGACTGATACACATGTACATACACAGCTTTCTCAAGCATTCACATATCTTTTTTTTCATCTTGTGTATTATCCCAATAGATTTTTGTAGAAACGGGACAATTTTCATGTCTAGCTGCCTAGGTAGACACAAACAAATTACATGTTACTACTAATTACAATTCTACAATAGGTAGAAGAAAGGTACATCTCATACTAAAATCCCAGATTATTTAAGGATAAAAATTTCCTTCTTCCATTAGTGCAAATAATTAAGAAATATATTTAAAAGAAAAAACAAAGAAATAATCACTTTGAACCTAAACCATAAGCCAATTGCTCAAAACTTGTAAAGTAGGGGGAAAAAAACAAAGAGCCCCACTGAGTGAGTATAAGTACATGGTCCTGAACTACAAAAAGCCAGAGCTTCATTCTTTTATACAAGCCTCCCTCCTCAATCAATTGCCCCATTCAAATAATAGTATCCTTCAGCTAAAATTTTACTTACTTATTTTGGGAAGTATTGCAGCAACTGGGGACAAATCTATAAGAGTGTAGTCTGAATGATTGAGGCAGACATCCAAGTTTATCAGTCTGTTCTGAGAACACTGGGTCATCCCATGATCACTTGTTATGATCACATTAAGATTATCCCACAATCCTAACATCTTGAGTTTTTGCACTAGGTCACCAATAAGGTCATCTATTTTTTTCAACACTTTCCCCATGCTCTCTTTATCTTCAGGTCCATATTTGTGGCCACTTGCATCTGGTTCTTCCCAATAGAGTGTTGCAAAGGTGACTGGTGGGTTCGAACTGTTAAGCCACATGGTAATATTATTTAGTCTCTCCTCAAATGACACTGAAGAGCTATAATTCATAAAATAGGAAGGTATGGTGTTATGAATGGGTACATCAGTACCAGGCCACATAGCAGCAGCACTTGATCTGTTTTCCTGAAGCTGATTGGTCACCCAAATAGGTATTGCCTCATTCCACCAAAAAGGATCCTTGTCATTAAAGTCGGAAAAATGTTTCTTTGTGACTACATCATACATGGAATTAGCCACAATTCCATGGCTTTCTTCATATAAGCCTGTCACAATACTGTAGTGGTTTGGAAATGTTTTAGTGATAAAAACATTTTTAACATGCTCTACCAAGACACCTTCTTTGATAAAATTCTGGAGATGAGGAAATTCATAATTCTGTAGATAATCAGCTCTGAAGCCATCAAAGGACACCAGGAGTAACTTGGGTGGCAAACTATAGGAAGAGTTACCTCTATAACCAGTTATAAGTCCAGAAAACAAAAGTATTACTAATAACTTCATAATGAATATGTTGAAGGACAGCAACCAGGGTTCCTAAAATATAAAAACACAATTCATAAGTAGTAATGCTATATGATTTGGATTAAGTTTCAGAAGTTTAGCTGACAAAAGAAGAGAAACAACATTTATAAACTTTTCATATGCCAGCTTTACCTACATCAACTTAAAAATTAAATAATGTCATTTATTTAAAGATAGCTAAAATTGAAAAAATATTAAAATTGCCTTTACTTGTTCAATTTCCTATTTGTATATGTCCTGCCCCACCTTTCATACTCTAAAGGAGAAATGGGCCATTTATATACTCCACATAAATACTCCTGTTTGGCTGCCTTGCTCCTTTGCAGCAGCATAAATTATTCTAAAGGCTTAATAAGAACAGATGAAGAAACAAAATGATTCTTTTGTACAAAATACAAATAATGGCAAGCTTTCAGAGGCTTCAGAGAGGGAGATTTAATAAATAGTACCCTATAGTTCCTTTAACCTACAAAAATAGTTGATGGAAATTCTATCACATTGGGCTCATCACCAATTCTTGTTGAAAAATATTGGCCTAAAAAAGCGGAGTTAATAAATAAACACTACTTGAGAAAAAGACCCCACCTCAGTCTGTACCTGCCCCAATATTTTCATGAGGTTGATTAACAAAGCCTACAGAGACTTGGATGCTGCAGTCACTTCTGAAAAAATCCAACAGCTGTTGAAATGAATTTCATCACCACATCCCTCTTAAACTTACTTTCAAAGATATAACCGTTCTCCCTAATAGCCCAGGCTCTGAGCTGTCCCTGATTTTTTGTTCTTTTCTTTTCAACAATCCATTGAACAAAAACAGCTTTTCCCTAATAAATCTTCCCACTGTTTGGTCTCTAACAAAATTGGATATGTGATTTGGGTAGAAAGATTCACTTCAGATGGGCAGGATACCTCCTCTGTTTTAACAGGAGAGAAGGCTAGGTCAGCTAACAGGTTTGCAGGCTGGAGGGGATGGGAGTTGCATTCTCTGTTTCTGGAGGTAGGCTCCATTAATTGCAACTATTGATAGGGAGTAGGGTGGGAAAAGGTTTAGAAGTCTGAGATACAGAGAATGTCTGAACTGCTCAATGAGGAGAATGAGGAGAATGGCCAATGTACAAGGAAACAGTAGGACTGGTGGGTGATGTTGATAGCTGGTGTCATGAATTTTCAGTGACACTGTTGACTGGTTTTCCCTAGCAACTCAGTGGCCCTGGCACGGGCATGAACAAAACAGGCAGCTGATCCTACCCAGGCTTGAGATTCTGCCAGAAACTGAAGAATGACTATGAAAGTTAAAGATGCTGACTAAACAGTGGCTGAAATTTCAGCTGCAGCATCTAAGCTGAAACTGAGATATGCAATAAGTAGTGAGGTTTTTGGACTAGAGGTTCTAACGAAGTCAAAGAACTGATGTTTTAAGAGTAACTTGCAGTGAAAGTTATGAAAATGTAGTGGGTTGTTGTCAGAATGAAGTGAATTAATTCAATATTCCAGAGTAAGAAGATCTGGGGTATGACCATAGGGGTATGGACCTTGAGGTCTCAGGCATAAGCAGCAGTGAACTAACTAATATGATTATTAAGTTCAAGAGTCATCTGTTGTGCATTCTTTCTCTCAACTAAACTGCAATTACCTGAAGGCAGAGACTTTTTCTTTTTCTTTTAAACATACCACCTACATGATCTGCGTACTTATAGTCATTCAAATACTTACTGATTAAAGCTGTGGCCCTCTGAAAAACAGTGACTTATAATTATGGAGACCAAAGGCAGACAATCTTATGTGTGAGGATTTTGGGGCCTGGAAAATCTCTACCATTTTAACCTGATAGGCTGCTTCCTGAACATGGTGCATCAAACATCTATTCCTGGTGCTGAGAAACCAAAAACAGTGCATAGTAACAAAACCAAACGCCCTCTCCAAAGGACAAAGTAATAACTCTAATGAGCTATATTAGAGGCATCATTCCACCAACAGTCCTAGTCATATCTCAGCAATTCTGGCTATCAAGAGCCGAGACAGTGGTACTTTCCTTTTCATTCAGTATTTTGTGCCCCCTAACAAAGCGTTAATGCACAACTTAATTCCTCCCTCAGACAGTCCAAACTGGGTTCAGTCGGAGAACAGTATTATGTGAGCTGCTGCTCTACATTCCAGCAACTTTAGAACTTGTGTTAAGGGCATGCAGATCTTCATGAAAGCTTGGATTGAGTAGATTCCCTGGTTTCTCTCTGAGTACAGCTACTTCCCCATACCCAAATATTTGTTTCCAATAACAGAGTAGACTTAAAACAGAAAATAGGTGATACAGCTTCTTCTCAAGGGAGAAAGATACTTATAAATCTACTTTTAAAAAAAATTCCTATTTACTTCCCTGGCTTCTTCCCTGAATAACCGACCATTCCACACTCCCAACCAATCCCACTGCACAAGCTATTCTGCTGCCAAGTCAAATCTGATATATAACAGACTGAATGCATTCTCTATACCTCCAAATCTTTCCTCTCCCTTAGTTTCCTAATCCTTTCAAACAGCTTCACCATTCTCTCACTCACACAGAGACTTCCTGAGTACACCATAAGTTGCCACTGTACTCAATTCTACCTTCATATTATCTAATACAAAAAAAAAGTAGACATAAGAATCACTGAAGGGAGCTTGTTAAAAGTGCAGCTCTCACTCTCTACACCTAGGAAATTCTGATTTAGTCAGTGCAGAGTAGAGGCCAGGAACCTACATTTTTAACAAGAATTTTTAACAGCTACCCACTCTTTTCCACCCCACTGCTGCCAGGCTTCTTTAAGTCCTCAACACCTCCTGTTCAGAGCCCTTTTGTCTCTTAACTCACCTTCCTACCTCGATCAGCTTCCCCTTTCTCACCCCACATCTGCTGCCAACTTAATCTTCCTGGGCATAACTCTGTTCATAATACTCCCCTAATGAAAAAAAAAAAAAAAGTTCAGAAAGTACAAAAACCTCAGTCTGGCATCCAAACCCCACCAATATCCAGCCCAACCTGCAGGCAAATTACTGTGAAATAGTTACAGAAATAATTGCCATCCTTAATTTCCATTCACTTCACCATATTTCACTGTCACAATCTTTCTGAAATGTATTACAATGACTTGTAAAAGGTAATCATCATTCACCTTGGTGACGTATAAGTGACCTATAACAGCTTTTCAGTAATAGTTTATATTTTCAGAACATCCTAAAGTTACTTCCCACACACAAAGTCTTGCTCAGACACTCTTTTAGGTCACTTATTAATAATCATTCAACCAATATCTAAGATAACAGTCTATAACACAAAAATATATGTATGTGCCATGTATCAGGGGACAAAGGCTTTATTCTTCTCAAATATATGATACTCAAAACAGGGGCAAAAATAATCAAACAAAGACAGGCTTTATACTTGAATCAAATTTGTTCTACAATACCAAAACTTTTTTAACAGTGTGCTTGAGATTCATATACCATCAAGTATTATTTATAAAACTAAGCCCTTAGAGGAATTAATACAAATGATTACCATAGTATGTCTAAAACTTCCCCAATAGTTACCTCTAAGAACAGAGGGGTGCCAAGACGATTCAGCAAACAGTGCCAGGACAACTAGATATGCACAGTCAAAAGAATGAATTTGGACCCTCACCTCATACCATACACAAAAATTAACTGAAAATGGATCACAGACCTAAATTAAGAGCTAAAACTGTAAAGCTCTTAGAAGAAAATATAAGAGCAAATCTTCATAATCTTGAGTTAGGCAAAGCCTTCTTAGATACCATGCCAAAAGCACAAGTGACCAAAAAAAAAAAAAAAAAAAAAAAGAAAATTGGACTTCATAAAAATTAAAAAGGTTTGTGCTTCAAAGGATGCCATCAAGAAAGTGAAAATACAACCCACACAGAATGGGAAAAAGTATTTGCAAATCATATGTTTGATAAAGGATTTGTATCTAGAATATATAAGGAACTGCTACAATTCAACAATAAAAAGCCAAATAATCTAATTAAAAATTAAGTAAAGGATCTGAAAAGACATTTCTCCAGAGAAGATACAGATGACAAATCAGCACCTGAAAAGATGCTCAACATAATTAGTAACCAGAAATGCAAATCAAAAACACAATGAGACACCACGTCACATCCACTAGGACAGTTAAATCAAAAAGATAATAACAAGTGTTGACGAGTTTATAGAGAAATCAGAACTTTTTATAACCTGCTAATGGGAATGTAAAATGGTACAGCCACTTTGGAAAACATTCTGGCAGTTCTTCAAAAGGTTAAACACAGAGTTACCACAGGACCCAGAAAGTCTACTGCTAAGTATATGCCCAAGAGAAATGAAAACATGTGTCCACACAAAAACTTGTAGAGAAATGTTCACAGCAGCATTATTCCTAAGAGTCAAGAAGTGGAAACAACTCAAATGTCTACCAACTAATAAATGGATAAATAAAATGTTGTTTATCCATACAATGGAATATTATTAGGCAATAAAAAGGAATGAAGCACTGATATATGCCACCACTTGGATAAACCTTGAAATATTATACTAAGTGAAAGATGTCAGTCGCAGAAGATCACCTGTTGTATGACTCCATTTTCATTAAATGCCTACAATAGGCAAATCTATAGAGACAGAAAGTATATTAGTAGTTACCTAGTGTTAGGGGTTGGTAAAAATGGAGAGTAAATGCCAATGGGTACAAGGTTTCTTTCTGGGGTGATGAAAATGTTTCAAATTGACTATGGTGATGATTGCACAGCTCCATAAATGAATGAATTGAATGGTACATAAATTATATATCACTAAAATAGTTTTTTTAAAAAAGAGAAGGAAGTGAAACTGTAATCTAAAATGGCCTGCCACAAAAAAGAAAACATCTTTAATATCTCATTTCACCTCAAAAATTATGTGAATTTTGTACTCCATAATACATACTTGAGCATTTTAATGTGAAAAAGAATTATTCCACTTTCTATATGCAAAAC